CCCTCCCCTCCCACCCCCGGGAGATACTGTTTCTAAGGCCTTAGGAAGTAACCATCATTGTTATCCTCATTTTACAAAGGAGGGAAACAAGGCATAGAGCAGCCGAATAACTTGCTCAAGGTGATACACCTAAGTGGCTGAGCTAGAACTGAATCCCCTTTGAATCACTGAGGTTGTACTGTGTATGTCTTTCCTGGGCAGCCTCTGTCTGGAGCATGACTTTACCACCTTTCGAAATGATTTTAGTACTCACGTGGGATTCACTCTTTATTCATGCATGCATTAACTAAACAACGATAACTGCTTGGAAGGAGATGGGCTACCGGTGGCGTAACTATGATGAGAAACCATGGCCGGGTCAGGGATCTCAGAAAAGTTTTCCAGAGGAAGAGGGACAAAATGTGAGTGGTAATTAACGATTTGAAGAGGAAAAGAGGAGCATTTGCAAAATACCTTGTTGTGCATTTTCTTCGTTTGTTTATAGGACCTATTTCACCTGAACACTTTATGGCAAAATATATATTTTTTAACTTTTATTTTAGGTTCAGGGGTACACATGCAGGTTTGTTATATATAGACTCATGTCACAGGGGATTGTTGTACAGATTATTTTGTCACCCAGGTACTAAGTCTAATACCCAGTAGTTATTTTTTCTGCTACTCTTCCTCCTCCAACTTTCCACCCTCAAGGAGGCCTCTCTGTCTGTTGTTCCCTTCTTAGTGTTCATTTGGTTTTCTGTACTTGCATTAGTTTGCTAAGGATAATGTCCTCTAATTCCATCCATGTTCTGCAAAAAACATGATCTCATTCTTTTTATGGCTGCCTAGTATTCCATGGTATATATATATATATCACATTTTCTTTATCCAGTCTGTCACTGATGGGCATTTAGTTTGATTCCATGTCTTGCTATTGTGAATAGTGCTGCAGTGAACATTTCTGTGTGCGTGTGCCTTTTTTTTTTTTTTTTTTTGGTAGAGATGGGATTTTGCCATGTTCCCCAGGCTGGTCTCAAATTCCTGAGCTCAAGTTATCCACCTGCCTTGGCCTCCCAAAGTGTTGGGATTACAGGCATGAGTCACTGTGCCTGGCTATGCTTTTGTCTTTATGGTAGAATGATTTATATTCCTCTGGGTATATACGTAGAAGTGAAATTGCTGGGTTGAATAGTAGGTCTGTTTTTAGCTCTTTGAGGAATTGCCATACTGCTTTCCACAATGGTTGCACTAATTTACACTCCCACCAACAGTGTATAAGTGTTCCCTTTTCTTCGCAACTTGGCCAGCATCTGTTATTTTTAAACTTTTTAATCATAGCTTTTCTGACTGGTGTGAGATTGTATCTCTTTGTGGTTTTGATTTGCATTCCTCTAATGATCCGTGATATTGAGCTTTTTTTTCATATGCCTGTTAACTACATATAAGTTTTCTTTAGAAAAGTGTGTTCATATCCTTTGCCCACTTTTTGATGGGGTTGTTGTTTTTCTCCTGTAAATTTGTTTAAGTTTCTTACAAATGCTGGATCTGATAAAGGTGCAGTCTGATAAAGGCATCTGATAAAAGTGCCTTTATCAGATGCATAGTTTGCAAATATTGTCTCCCATTCTGTAGGTTGTCTGTTTATCTGTTGAGTTTCTTTTGCTGTGCAGGAGCTCTTCAGTTTAATTAGATGCTATTTGTCAATTTTTGCTTTTGTTGTGATTGCTCTTCTTTGCCCATTTCTGTGTCCAGGATGGGATTGCCTAGGTTGTTTTCCATGGTTTTTATGGTTTTGAGTTTCACATTTAAGTCTTTAATCCATCTTGAATTAATTTTTGTATATGGTGTAAGGAAGGGGACTAGTTTCATTCTGCATATGGCTAGCCAGCTATCCCATCATTTACTGAACAGGGAATCCTTTCCCCATTGTTCATTTTTATCAGCTTTGTCAAAGATCAGATGATTGTAGGTGTGTGGATTATTTCTGGGCTCTCTATTGTGTTCCATTGGTCTATGTGTCTGTTTTTGTACCAGTACCATGCTGTTTTGATTACTGTCACCCTGTAATATAGTTTGAAGTACAGTAACATGATGCTTTCAGTTTTGTTCCTTTTGCTTAGAATTGCCTTGGCTATTTGGGCTCGTTTTTAGTTCCATATCAATTTTAAAATAGTTATTTCTAGTTCTGTGAACAATGTCATTGGTAGTTTGATAGGAATAGCACTGAATCTGTAAATTGCTTTGGCCCGTATGGCCATTTCAATGATACTGATTCTTCATATTCATGAGTGTGGGATGTTTTTCCATTTGTGTCATCACTGATTGCTTTGAGCAGTGTTTTCTAATTCTTATTGTAGAGATCTTTCATCTCCCTTGTTAGCTGTATTTCTAGGTGATTTGCTCATATTGCGGCAATTATAATTGGGATTGCATTTTTGATTTGGCTCTTGGCTTGGCTGTTCTTGGTGTATAGGAATGCTAATGATTTTTGTTGATTGACTTTTGTATCCTGAGAGTTGGCTGAAGTTGTTGACCAGCTGAAGGAGCTTTTGGGCTAAGACTATGGGATTTTCTAGATGTAGGATCATGTCATCTGCAAATAGGGGTAGTTTGACTTCCTCTCTTCCTTTCTGGACGTCTTTTATTTCTTCCTCTTGCCTGGTTGCTCTGGCCAGGACTTCTAATGCTATGTTGAATAGGAGTAGTGAGAGAGGGCATCCTTGTCTTGTGTGACAGTTTTCAAAGGGAATGCTTTCAGCTTTTGCCCGTTTAGTATGATATTGGCTGTGGGTTTGTCATAGATGGCTCTTATTATTTTGAGGTATGTTCCTTCAATGCCTAATTTATTGAGAGTTTTTAACAGGAGAGGATGTTGAATTTTTAATGAAAGCCTTTTCTGCATGAGATAATCATGTCATTTTTGTCTTTAGCTATGCTTATGTGATGAATCACATTTATTGATTTGTGTATGTTGAACCAACCATGAATCCTGGGGATGAAGCCTGCTTGATTGTGGTATGTTAGCTTTTTGATGTGTTGCTGGACTTGGTTTCCAAGTATATTGTTGAGGATTTTTTCATCGATGTTGATCAGGGATATTGGCGTGAAGTTTTCTTTTTGTTGTTGTTGTTGCTGTTTTGAGACGGAGTCTTACTCTGTTACCAGGCTGGAGTGCAGTGGCATGATCTTGGCTCACTGCAACCTGCGCCTCCCAGGTTCAAGAGATTCTTCTGCCTCAGCCTCCTGAGTAGCTGGGACTACAGGTGGTGCCACCACACCCAGCTAATTTTTGTATTTTTAGTAGAGATGGAGTTTCACCATATTGGCGAGGATGGTCTCAATCTCTTGACCTCCTGATCCACCTATCTCGGCCTCCCAAAGTGCTGGGATTACAGGCATGAGCCACCACATCCAGCCGAAGCTTTCTTTTTTGTTGTGTCTCTGCCAGGTTTTGGTATCAGGATGATGCTGGCTTCACAGAATGAGTTGGGGTAGGAGTCCCTCATCCTCAATTTTTTTGGAAATCAGGGGTGCAAACAACGTACCCTGTACACCCAGCAGTAATCCCACAGGAGAAGGCAGCGACCCCAGGCCATGTAATCAGCAGCAAGGTGATTATGTGATATGTCTTTTCACAGCTGAGTTAGATGTGCTCCACCAGTTATGACAGGAATCAATTTAAATATACTTTCTTGATCCCAGAAATTCAAGTATGTGGACAGTGGTTACGCATGACAGGACGGTTTGTTACAGCACAACTAACATATTTCAAATGGACAAAAAAGTTAGTATAATTTACAGTGTCTTAAGATACATTTCCTTTGAATGGATGCTTCCTTTCCCGTCCTTTGAGGTCTAGTATCTAGAAAATTTAGTACGGTGGAAGATGACTGTTTAAATGGAATGGGCGTTGGGAAGGGGAAGGGTCTACGGTTTTTCTTTTTGATTAACTGCTGTAATCCTGTCCTTCGGGCAGCTGAAGGAGCTTCATATTTTCTTTAGACATCATTAGGCACCAGAGCTCTTGCAGGACAACTTTGATGCTGCATGAATTCTGCCATTTTGCTGGCACTGACAGGGCTTTCTGGTCCACCACTCCATTAGAACTATTAACCCCATTTATTTTTTTTCTTTTATTTTTTTATTTTTGAGACGGAGTTTCGCTCTTGTTACCCAGGCTGGAGTGCAATGGCGTGATCTCGGCTCACCGCAACCTCCGCCTCCTGGGTTCAGGCAATTCTCCTGCCTCAGCCTCCTGAGTAGCTGGGATTACAGGCACGCGCCGCCATGCCCAGCTAATTTTTTGTATCTTTAGTAGAGACGGGGTTTCACCATGTTGACCAGGATGGTCTCGATCTCTTGACCTCGTGATCCACCCGCCTCGGCCTCCCAAAGTGCTGGGATTACAGGCTTGAGCCACCGCGCCCGGCCTATTAACCCCATTTATATTAATTTTTGTTACAAATCTTACAAAGGCAGGGTGCTTCTGGGCATTTAGGCTACATTCTATTTTAAGGCTGTATACTCAATTTTCATAAATTGTTTTTGGAGGCCCGATTATCATCTCTGTCCGTCTTGTGCCAGGTCTTCCTTATATTCTAGACCCAGACTAACTTGCCATCTCCTGCTCCTTTCTGGCCTTCTTCGAGTTCTTCCAGCAGTAGGAAACTTCGAGGGACTTTTACTCCTGAGCCCATGGTGACTGCCATCTTGCATTGCTGTTGCCCTATGTTTTGTGTAATGAAAAATTGAGCAATAGAAAGCAGGTAGTGATACAAGAAGTCAACATTGAGAAATAAAAACAGAAAGCAAGGGGAAAACAAGCAGCATACTGTGTGCTTCGGAATCAATGACTGGTTGTCGCCTTTCAGAGGATGGTGAAGATACATATGAAAGTTGGTTATCTTTTGAAATATGGTCTTGACACTTGATTCTTAGGGCTGGTTAGATAGATTCACTAATTTTTGAGACTTTCTTTCCTTTTACTGTGGTAAGACCAACAGTCTGGTTATTCTTTTCAGTTTCTTTATAAACATTGGAGTAATAAAGAAGGGAGAACAAAATGAGCTGGGCTTTGGAAGAATGCAAAGAAGGCCTTCCTATAAGAGCTCTTCAGAAAACTCAAGAGCTTGAAGGACAACTTGACAAACTGAAGAAGGAAAAGCAGCAAAGGCAGTTCCACCTTGACAGTCTCGAGGCTGCCTTGCAGAAGGAAAAACAGAAGGCACCCCTGAAGCTCTGGTATTTGTAGCTGTTCACTCATTATTATCACAGAAGCACTGGTATTTAAAACTGTTCACTCATTTTTGGATTATTTCATCTTTACATTTAGAGAAAAATGATTTTGCTATCTTCAGGAGGCAATCCCCGCCCCCACCACCCTACCCCATTCCCCTTCCCCTTTTTTGAGTCTTTTTTATTTTAATGGTTTTCATTTGCTCCATTCCTGTTCTCATTTCTGCTTACCTGCTAATATCTAGGGCTACTGAGTCCCAGTTCAACTTCCCTGTGGAACCATGACTTGGAGACTGCTTTTGCACTGCATAGCAACAAGGCAAAAGGTTTCTGCTGGTTAAATGGATGTGGCTTTCTGAGACTCCGCTTTTTACCTTGGTATTCCCCAACCTTTTCAGGGCTAGTAAATAAAAACTAAATAGTACTTTTTAAAATTTACCTCTGTATTAGCTAACTAAATAGTGATAGTCATTGCTTTTAAAAGCTTTTTGCTTGATGGAGAATTTTCTGGTTTCTAAGAATAACTAATTTTAGCAGCCAAACTGGAGAATGAATTGTTAAGGGAGATTTATAGGATTTATTTTCTGTTTTTTAATTTTCGAAAGGATAGTAAAGCCTCACTTTCTAGGATGGGTATGTATGACCAGAGAGGATATCATCACACATGACTTCATAGAAGTTTCCTATCTATTGGCTTCAAAGTGTGTTCATCCAAAATTTCTGTGTTCATAAAGTATTGACAGATGGCTACTGCAGCTGCACCTCAGGAAATGAGCAGAGGGTTAGACTCAGATCTACCAATAATACTTGGTAAATTCATCAGACGAGGGAGTTACTGTCTTCTGAACAATTCTCATTAGGTTGAAAATGAAAAAACTGAGGGTACAAATCTGAAAAGGGAGAATCAAAGATTGATAGAAATAAGCGAAAGTCTGCAGAAAGCTAAGTAGATTTCTCATGAACTTCAAGTCAAGGGGATACAGGTGAGTTTCCTGGAAGGACAACTGAATTCAGGCAAAAAAACAAGTAGAAAAACTGGACCAGGAACTTAAAAGGTACTATTTTGGAATGATATTTATAGGGATGATGTTTGTATGTATTTATCAGATGTGTTTCTCTTTTCCTTTAACAACATAATTATTATACATTGCAACTTTTTTTTCGCAGTGGAGTAAGTAATGATTTGGTCTATATCAGTAATTTGAATAAGTGAAAGATTAAAAACAAACAATGATTTAGTTTTTTCATTGAATAGCTCAGTATGATATAAATTTATCAAATGGTTACTCTGTTACTCATGTACTCATTCAGTATATGTTTATTTTTATTTATTTATTTTTGAGATGGAGTTCCGCTCTTGTTTCCCAGGCTGGAGTGCAATGGCGCGATCTCGCCTCACCGCAACCTCCGCCTCCCGGGTTCAGGCAATTCTCCTGCCTCAGCCTCCTGAGTAGCTGGGATTACAGGCACACGCCACCATGCCAGCTAATTTTTAGTATTTTTAGTAGAGACGGGGTTTCACCATGTTGACCAGGATGGTCTCGATCTCTTGACCTTGTGATCCACCCGCCTCGGCCTCCCAAAGTGCTGGGATTACAGGCTTGAGCCACCGCGCCTGGCCATTCAGTATGTTTACTAAGCTGTTCCATGATTCAGACACTGTTGGTCACTGGGTAGTACAATAATAAATAGTATATCATACTATCAAATAATAGTATTATTATAATACTATCATACGGTCAAATAGTATCAAATAATGCTATTGTTTGATAGTACTGTTATTTGACGGTATGATGATAGTACTACTTAAAATAAAACTATCAACAGTTGTTACTGAAAAGACGGAAATCAGTTGAAGTGTACTGATGGCTCATGTGAAAAAGCTGTTGTAGAGAATGAGAGGAAGAACTAGGGAATTATAAAAGGATGGAATAGCACAGAGGGCCCAGCTGAGATTGGAGACAGCATTTAAGCAGGCCCAATCTGCAAGGCTGTGTGATGATTTAAAAAAAAGTTTCCTTTTCGCTGTGCGTGGTGGCTCATACCTCTAATTCCCAGCACTTTAGGAGGCTGAGGTGGTGGATTACCTGAGGTCAGGAGTTCGAGACCAGCCAGCATGGCCAATGTGGTGAAACCCCCTCTCTGCTTAATATACAAAAATTAGCCGGCTATAGTGGTGGGTACCTCTAATCCCAGCTACTCGGGAGGCTGAGGCAGGAGAATTGTTTGAACCAGGAGGTGGAGGCTGCAGTGAGCTGAGATCGCACCATATCCTCTTAGCACATTTGGTTTTACATTATTCTTATTATCTAATAGACTACAAAAACTACTGAATATGGTTTTAAAGTTTTCACTGCTAGCCTTCAAATGCATTGCAGAAACTTACTTTTTCTAACAATTGCCACTGATTAGGTTTCAGAAGTTCTCCAGCATGTGAGGTTGAATCATTTGGAATGTTTGTTAAAACTGTGGATATTTTCAATCTCATATAGTTCAACCTGGTAGAAAATGCTTTTAGCTTTTTAGTGCTTTTTTGGTGGTGGTGTTTATGGTTTTTTTTTTTAGGGGGAAGGGGAAAATATGGTTTATAAAAATAATAGCAAGGTATACTTTTAAGTAATAAATAACTGTTTAAAATGTAAGGATAGGGAAAAGGGAATAAGATAGGAATTTAAAGTAGAAAGGAAACACTGGTTTTGCAAGATTCTTCAAAATTCATCTCTAGAATCACCAACTTTGTGATACTTTGCTAGTCTGTAGACCTGTAATGTTCAATATGGTGGCCATTGGCTACATGTGGCAATTATTATGTACTTGAAATGTGGCTGGTGCAAATTGAGATGAGCTGTAAGTATACAATGCATGCCAAATTTTTTAGTATGAAAAATTGTGAAATATTTTCTTAGTAACTTTCCTATTGATTACAAGTTGAAATAATAGTGTCTTGACAATAGCAAGTTAAATAAAATATTAATTTTACTTATTTTTGTTTTTTCAATACAATGGAACATGTCCATTAGACATTGCTGTTTCCTACTGTAAGCTCAGATTTAGTGATCTGATTTGCTGAGAAGTCATTTTTAGCTCATAAGTTGCTCTTCCTTCTCAGGTTGAATTTGGAGCTAAATGGCGCTAAGGGCACTTTCTTTCATTTCTTTTTTTTTTTGGGACAAAGTCTTGCTCTATTGCCCAGGGTGGAGTGCAGTGGCCTAATCTTCGCTTACTGCAACTCTGCTTCCTGAGTTCAAGCAATTCTCTTGCCTCAGCCTCCCAAATAACGGGGACTACAGGTGCACGCCACCATGCCTGACTAATTTTTGCATTTTTAATAGAGAGGGATTTTTGCCCCTTTGGCCAGGCTGATTTTGAACTCCTAACCTCAGGTGATCTGCCTGCCTCGGCCTCCCGAAGTGTTGAGATTACAGGTGTGAGCCACTGGGCTTGGCATTACTTTCGTTACTTCCTGTTTTAAGTAATAGGCCATGGCTAAGAGACTGGTATACACTATTAGCCATTCTAAAAGAGTGTTCATTTTATTTTTTCTGTTATGTTCAAGTCAGAGACATTAGAGATTTGGAAGAACTGAGCCCTCTTTTAATGCCATGTTTTGGTTTTAAAAGGGGTTCAGAACTAACTTGACTGATAGTTCTGAATACCTTCACACAGTGTGTACATAGATACAATACATAACTTATGTTTCCCATTTCTTGTAACGATTTCCAGCCATATCTTTTCTAAATGCATTATATTGACTTAATTTTTATATCTGTTTTAAAAATGTCATATAATACATGATCTGTATATCGAGTCTATGTTTCTGAAATGACTAAGTATCCTAAGTAATGTCACTGCTCTCATGATTTGAGCCCATGCTTCAATGACACTACTTTCTTCCCATGTTTCTGACGTTCTGGGTTCTTCTATATCCCTCTCTTTGGCTTAGAATATGCAATCTGCTTTGAATATATTCCAGGCCTCCAACTCTTCTTTGCTGTCTGTTTACTATTAGTCTGTTCTGACACTGCTATAAAGAAGTGCCTGATACTGGGTAAATTATAAAGGAAAGAGGTTTCATTGACTCACAGTTCTGCGGGGTTTTCCTTTTCTGCTCGGGAAACTTACAGTCATAGTGGAAGGGGAAGCAAACATGTCCTTCTTCACATGCGGGCAGGAAGGAGAAGAATGAGAACCAAGCATAGAAGGAAGCCCCTTATAAAACCATCATATCCCATGACAACTCACTATCATGAGAATAGCATGAGGAAACTGCACCCATCATTCAATTACCTCTCACCAGGTCCGCAGCACCACACGTGTGGATTATGGGAACTAGAATTCAAGATGAGATTTGGGTGGGACACAGCCCAACCATATCATTATCATAGTGGTTATTACACACCTTCCTTGTAGCCTTTATAATGTTGTATTTATTGGTTTATATTTCTGTTTCTTTTACTAGACTGAGTTCCTTTGAAGACACGGGACTCTGTTTATGTCTGGCACATAAAAGTTAGATTTTATTAAATGCCTGTTGAATAAATGAAATGGTTAAGAATTCTTAGTGGATGGGTTTCTTTGTAACTTTATTACTTTCTGGGAATGTGTGGCACGGGTATTCTGTAGCCTTTGCTCTAACTGATTTGTCTGCCTCTTGGGTCCTTTTTGAACAGGTGTAAATCTGAGCTTGAAAAAAGCCAACAAGTGGCACAGTCTGCAGATGTCTCTCTGAATCCACGCAATAGACCACACAAAATTTTTACAACTCTAACACCAAGTCAATTTTTTTTTTTTTTTTGAGACGGAGTTTCGCTCTTGTTACCCAGGCTGGAGTGCAATGGCGTGATCTCGGCTCATGGGTTCAGGCAATTCTCCTGCCTCAGCCTCCTGAGTAGCTGGGACTACAGGCACGCGCCACCATGCCCAGCTAATTTTTTGTATTTTTAGTAGAGACGGGGTTTCACCATGTTGACTAGGATGGTCTCGATCTGCCGACCTCGTGATCCACCCACCTCGGCCTCCCAAAGTGCTAGGATTACAGGTTTGAGCCACCGCACCAAGTCAATATTATAGTGGTAATGCATTTTTTTTTCCTTTGTATAGACAGCTTTTTGTTTAGATTGAAATTTTAATTCTGTAAAAAAAAAATGAATTAATTCAACTTTGATTTAAACTTTTAATTTATATGTTTAAAAATTGCAACCAATTGTTACAGATCAATTTGCATATTTGTTGAATTATGTTGAGCTACTGGATTAAGCTTTTAAGCATTTTTACTTTATCCTTCTGTGGTATATTTTCAAGGACATTCAATTTCAGAATGTTTAAAACTTATGTTTTTATGTATCTTGATATTTGATTAATTTGATCCATGTTTTGATCTAATTCCCTAACCAAAATGTTGTTTCTACTTGCTGTTATACTAAGATACCCATTTCTAGACTCTCAAAATTGTTGTTGATCTGTGAATTCCTTCATGGAATCAATGATTGAAATAAAATTGTATTTGATTTTCTGTTTCTAGGTTTCAAGTATGAAGATCTGAAAGAAAAATATAAAGAGGTTAACGAAAAAGATTAGAGGCAGAGGTTAAAGCCTTGCAGGCTAAAGTAAGTTAATTATGGCCCTATAATAGCATGTGCAGTTATAGAATACTTTGATATGGGATAGAACAAGGTTAGAGGAAAATCTGTTTTACATAGAGTTGGCTTTTTTTTTTTGGACTCAGAGAAGGTTTTGGGCTTAGTGGAGGTGATTATTTTTTAGTTTTAAAAATAGGTAGAAATGAGTAAAATAGAGTGGGGAGGTTAGTTTATCCCTGAATATTAAATGATCATGTAAGTCTATGAAAGCAATGTCCACTTAATTATTTCCCCATTAAGACCTAGTGATCAGTGCCATTCTTGGAGACAGTGGGGCCAGAGAATTAGTCCTGATGCTGTCTGCCTGGCTTTGCCACGTGGAGGCAGTTGCTTCCTATACAATCCTTTTGAACTATTTTTTTTTTTTTTGAGATGGAGTTTCTCTCTTGTTACCCAGGCTGGAGTGCAATGGCATGATCTCGGCTCACCGCAACCTCCGCCTCCTGGGTTCAGGCAATTCTCCTGCCTCAGCCTCCTGAGTAGCTGGGATTACAGGCATGCACCACCGTGCCCAGCTAATTTTTTGTATTTTTAGTAGAGACGGGATTTCACCATGTTGACCAGGATGGTCTCGATCTCTTGACCTCGTGATCCACCCTCCTTGGCCTCCCAAAGTGCTGGGATTACAGGCGTGAGCCACCGCGCCCGGTCGCTTTTCAACTATTGATTGCTATGTCTTGGTGGATTGACCCTTTTATCACTATATAGTGTCCATGATAATTTTCTTTATTCTGAAGTCTACTTTGTCTGTTACTAATATAGCCACTTCAGCTTTCCTTTGATTGTTTGCATTATGTATTTCTTCCTCTTTACTTTCAACCTATTTTGTTATATTGAGGTGACTTTCATGTAGATAACATAGAGTTGGGCCATGGTTTTCTATATATGCTATCTGTCTTTTTTTTTTTTTTTGAGATGGAGTCTCGCTCCGTCGCCTAGGTTGGAGTGCAGTGGCACGATCTTGGCTCCCTGCAATCGGCACCTCCCCGGTTTAAGCGATTCTCCTGTCTCAGCCTCCTGACTAGCTGGGACTATAGGCACATGCCACCACACGTGGCTAATTTTTGTATTTTTAGTAGAGATGGGGTTTCACCATGTTGGCCAGGCTGGCCTTGAACTCCGGACCTCAGGCAGTCCACCCACCTCGGCCTCCCAAAGTGCTGGGATTATAGGTATAAGCCACGACACCTGGCCACCACTATCTCTCTTTTAATGGGTTTATTTAGACCATTTACACTTAATGTAATTACTGATATATTATAACCTAAGTCTGCCATTTTATTTTTTGTTTTCTATTTCTTTCTGCTTTTTCATTTGTCTTTTTTTCCTGCCTTTATGGGTTGCTTGAACATTAAAAAAATTTATTTTGGTTTGTTTATGTATTTTTGAGTGAATCTCTTCGTAGCTTCTATAGTGATTGTTCTAGATATTACATTATTTATACTCATCACAGTCTATTGGTGTTTTCATTTTACTAATTCTAGTGAATTTTACAGACCATTTCCTCCCTTTTCATCCTTTTACCCTCCCTCATTTATAATAGAATTGTCTTAAATGTTTTCTGTACAGACATTTAGAACTACATTTTGCTTCAATTCTTTGTTTTTTTTTTTTTTTGAGACGGAGTTTCGCTCTTGTTACCCAGGCTGGAGTGCAATGGCGCAATCTCGTCTCACTGCAACCTCCGCCTCCTGGGTTCAGGCAATTCTCCTGCCTCAGCCTCCCGAGTAGCTGGGATTACAGGCACGCGCCACCATGCCCAGCTAATTTTTTGTATTATTAGTAGAGATGGGGTTTCACCATGTTGACTAGGATGGTCTTGATCTCTTGAGCTCGTGATCCACCCGCCTCGGCCTCCCAAAGTGCTGGGATTACAGGCTTGAGCCACTGTGCCTGGCCCTTTGCTTCAATTCTTAAACATATTTTAAAAAGCGTAAGAGGAAAGCCTATTATATTTGTGTGTGTGTGTGTGTGTGTGTGTGTGTGTAATCATTGCTAACCTTGTTCTTCCTTTTCTCCTAGATTTCCTTCCAGGGTTACTTCTTTATTTCCTTTCTGTTTAGAAAACTTCCTTTAGCCATTCTTTTAGGGTAAGTCTGCTGGCCACAAATCCTTTATCCATTCTTTTAGGATAAGTCTGCTCTCCACAAATCCTTAGTTTTCCTTTATTTGAGAATGTCTTGATTTTCTTTTTACTCCTGAAGGATATTCTGTTGGGTATAGGATTCCATGTTGACAGTTCTTTTCCCAGTGTCATAGTGTTTTTTACTCCTGAAGGATATTCTGTTGGGTATAGGATTCCATGTTGACAGTTCTTTTCCCAGTGTCATAGTGTTTGTCTTCGGGTCCTGAGCTCCTTAGTCCGTCTGCCTTCTTCTCTCCATCTTTCAGACTTTTCTTGTGTTTGTTTTACAAGGTTTTTATTTGTTCTAGTTAGGAGGAATAGGGAAAAGCGTGATTATCCCATCTTCCTGGAGGTAAAAGTCAGGTTCATTTTTATATATTCTCCTGGTGCAGTGCCTAATCAGAGAAATTCTGGAAAAATATGGTTAGATATATAAAGGAACAATGGAGCGTCAGTGGAACAACTGTGACCTTCTTTGATCCATGCATTTAATCTCTTCATGCAGTCTCAGTATGTAATAGTAATTTGTGCTTTTAAGTTAAAAGGACTTGGGTTTGAACCTGGCTCTGCCACATCCCAGTTTTATTGCTTTTTGAATTATTTAATGAACTTCTGAGCCCCAAGTTGTCTAATCAATAAAATTGTGTTAAAATGCCCGTGTCATAGGGTTGTTGTAAAGATTGAGAATTTTTTAAAGATGTTAGCATAGTACCTGGCACATGGTGAACTTATCATAATATTAGCTGTTATTATCATGGCTTCTTTTCAAGTTTCTAGTTAATGAAGCCAATTTTCAGTTGCGTTTCTTCCAAGCTAGGCCTTCCTGTATGTAAGAGTTACATTTCTCCTTGTACATTTTACTTCTTTGGTTTTGAAGTGACAAGCTCACCAAATCCTTGTTCTTCTGTCTGACACATATAATCAAGTTTCTTCTCATCAAATCATGAATTAATATTTTCGACTAAGATAGGGCTAAGAATACAGCTCAGGCTTTCTATTAGCGTCTTCCCTCCAGGTTTTTTTTTTTTTGGAGACAGGGTCTCACTCTGTCACTCAGGCTGGAGCGCAGTGGCATGATCTTGGCCCATTGCAACCTCCGCTTCCTGGGCTCCTACCTCAGCCTTCCTACTAGCTGGGACTATAGGTGCCTGCCATCACACCTGGCTAAGTTTTGTATTTTTAGTAGAGATGGGGCTTCACCATGTTGCCCAAGTTGTTATTGAACTCCTGGGCTCAAGCAATTTGTCCACCTCAGCTGGGGTTACAGGTGTGAGCCACTGCACCCAGCCCTTCCAGGTTTTCTTTTTTTTTTTGAGATGAAGTTACATTCTTGTTGCCCAGGCTTGGAGTGCAGTGGCACGATCTTGGCTCACTGCAACCTCCGCTTCCTGGGTTCAAGCTATTCTCCTATCTCAGCTTCCCGGGTAGCTGGGATTACAGCCACTACACCCAGCTAATTTTTTGGTATTTTTAGTAGAGACAGGGTTTCACCATGTTGGCCAGGCTGGTCTTGAACTCTTGACCTCACGTGATCCTCCCACCTCGGCCTCCCAAAGTTCTAGGATTACTAGCGTGAGCCACTGCATGCAGGCCCTCCAGGTTCTTAATACTTGTTTATTCTGTGCTTTTGGGGTTCCTTTTTTCCATTGAGTCACAAACCCATTTAACTGAAAATTCAGTCTGTTCTTTTCTGTCTTGTCCGTAAGGATAATATGACCTTGTCAAAGGCGTAACTGAACTAAAATTATGCGATGTTTGTGCTGTTTCCAGAACTAACATTAGAATTATCTATTAAATAAAATGGAATTACTGTTAAAAAAAATCAACACCGTGTTCTTAAGTGAACATATGCTGTTTGTAGTGTATCTTTTCCAAGTATTTACAAATTGTGTGAGATACAAGGCTTGAATTCATGGAGAAACAGAGCCCTGAGCTGGCAGCAGACCTGGAGCTCAACACCCATTTACAGATAAAAAGGTCCAGAAAGCTTAAGGGAATAAGAGTCGTGTGTTATGTATTTTCAAGGACTTGAGTTCTGGGCACTATTTTCGAGTATTATGGAGCATTGATGACACCTAGTGGTCAGATACTCTTATATGAATTAGGTATTGTTGATAATAGAATGTTGTTTAAAAATTTTTAAATAAAACGTAAGTACCTTCTACAGTCTCTTTTAACCTGCTATATATTAGTAGAAAAGGATTCTTGATGCCAAGATCCTTTAATGGAATGTATTGCAGTTTGAAGGAGTGCCAGTAGAGGGCGCCAAGGGTTTATTCATTTACTCTGTGGTGCAACGTGGTTCTTTTTTTTTTTTCTTTTCCCTGAGATTTGTCAGCGATCAAAATTTTGAACCATCACTTGAGCAGTGACTTTTTTTTTTGTTTTTTCTTTTGAGACAGATTCTCGCTCTATTGCCCAGGCTGGAGTGCAGTGGCACGACCTTGGCTCACTGCAACCTCCGCCTCCTGGGTTCAAGCAATTCTCCTGCCTCTGCCTCCCAAGTAACTGCGATAATAGAAAAATTAACCAAGGCTGGCTAATTTTCATATTTTTAGTAGAGATGGGAGTTTCACCATGTAGCCTGGGCTGGTCTCAAACTCTTGACCTCAAGTGATCCTTCCACCTTGGCCTCTCAAAGTCCTGGGATTACAAGTGTGAGCCACCACCCTGGCCTGAGCAGGGACATTTGCCCGAGTTGTTGGCTGTTGTATCCTCAATGCCCAGAACAATGCATGACATGTATAATGGGCTCTCAAACAATATTTGTTAAATTCATATTTATTTTTGTTACAAATAATCTCTGTAATGCTTTTCTTTGGGCCTTTGAAAATTTAAGGACAATCAAGATAATAACAAGAGGGTCGCTGAACATTTGGCTCAAAATTTTAATTTTTTGAGTTTGGTACTTTTAAGTGCTGATATTTGCAAAAATCATTTAGTCATGAATGACCAGCTTGGCCCCTTTCTTCTTTGGTTAGTTAATCATTGGTGGTTGACTGATCTCTAGGATTTTTTAGTGAATTTTTTGTAGCGATTGAGTATTACATGGTGTTTTCTTTTCCTCTGAATTCTCATTTCTATTATTTCTCAAGGTTTTAAATCAGACTTTGGAGAATCTACATTACTACAGAGATCTGCTACTTGGGGCACATTTCTTTTGTAGTGGAGAATTCTAACCCACCAAGATGAAGTGGTCTTATTATTCCCTGGTCTTTATAGAGTTGTTTGATAGGGGAGGCGAAGGATTCGAGCCCATGGGGAATATATAGAGGAATGACTCTCAACACTTGAAGAGTTAAGACCATTTCGTTCCAATTTAATTTTACAAGAGCATCCTAAATTTTCATGTAATACATGTCTTAAAAATTATTTTAGGGATAACGGGCTTTGTGAAAAGGCAGTTGACTGTTCTTTGTATTGCTTATGGCAGCCTGATTAAAAACCAGTTGTGATACTCTCTGGAGTCCTGTGAACCTCCTGAAATTTAAAGTGGCAAACTGGGAACATTGTGGAAAGAAGCACTTTAATATTTAAAATTTCCCACAAAATCCATTATGCTTGAAACAGACTATCATATGAGGGTAATGGGCACCCGCTGATGATTTTACAGCTTTTAAATTACATAGGTTAACGCCATTGCATTTTAACCTCTCATTTCCATGCAACAAAATGTTAGCTGAATCATTAGACTTGCTGATGTCTGTTTCATGGCACAAATTGGGAAGTATTTATTTAAGCGGGCTAATGCTTTACATCCCTGCTAATAGTTCCTAAACATAAACTGTATGCTAAACTCATTATAGTGCTTTTTCTAAAACACAAAATATTTGTTCTTTTACTTGAGCAATACTTTTTTTGTCTTGAACATTTTTATTTGTTATTAGTGTACTGCATTGGAACAAAAACTGAAAAAAGTGACAGAAAATTTGAGTTGTCAGTGACAAAATGCAGAAAGTGCCAGATGTTCGTTCTCTGGAACAGAAAATTAAGGAGAAAGAAAAGGAGTTTCAAGAGGTAAGGTAAATGGACTCAGGAGGTGTTTGTCTGCAAGGCTTTTCATAGTTTGATTACTTGGAAGGGGAGTTGTTTATCACAATTGGGGAAATTCAATTAGAGGGGAAATGCTTTGTGAGCTAAAGGTCACTTTATTTTCCTTCACTTCTTCACTTTTGTGCTTTTTTAAAAAAATCTTTCAGTTTTTGATTAGAGGAGGGAATGAGTATTCAGAATTTATCCACGTTTTCTGATTTGTTTGAGATTTGATATTCAGTAGGAAAGGATCACATTTCTTCTTTTGGACGTTTTCTCTGCTGTGAAGGAAATTGTATTACATTCTCCAGTTGGGTTTTATCTTTTTTTTTTTTTTTCTTTCACTCTATTTCCTTGATAGCTCCAGTTGTTTTTAAAGTCTGTGGGCTGGCAAATAAATTAGAAGGGTAGTTGATGTGGGGAAAGCAGTTGGCAGAAGAGTGAGGTGGAAGGTGCCCTTCCATAAGTATCTGCCAGTTTGGTTCTTTCAGGGGATTTAGCCTGAAAATATCATATGGATCGAGAGTCTACAGACTTTAAATAAGAATGCCTGGAAATGTTCGCTGGTATCCTTCTGTGGTTATTAAAGTTAACTGGTGTCATATATATGCTTCCTGTCCTTCTAAATTTAAGCTCGTTTAAAATGATGCACAGTTTTTTGTGTTTTAAACACCATTTGAGTATGTTTGTTGTTTTAGTTGAGCTGTGACTGTTGTAGCTCAGTTCTTCTCTCTTGCTCCTGATCCTTCAAAATAGAGGTAATTAATTTAAGACCGAAGCTGAGGTGGAAACAGGCTAGTTTGTTTCCATGTGATCAACTGATAGAGCCCTTCCCCTTTCCCTCAGAGATCTGTATTTGATGCCTGGGCCCAGCATGGAGCACTGAGGCTGAATCTGTCTATCGTTAAGTGAATGGTCAGCTCGACTCCCTGCTGTCTCCTATGCTCTCTGTACAGTCACCTGTTAGGATGCTCATGTCTCACCCTGGAGTCTCCCAAACAAACCATCATCAGGCTGATGTGCACGCCCTTTGTTTTGCAGGAGCTCTCCCGTCAGCAGCGTTCTTTCCAAACACTGGACCAGGAGTCCATCCAGATGAAGGCCAAACTCACCCAGGAGTTGCAGCAAGCCAAGAATATGCACAACGTCCTGCAGGCTGAACTGGAAAAAGTAGGGGCCGTGTCTTTCTCTCCTCAGTCATCCCCTCTTGTTCCTTATACCTGTTACTTCTCTATCATAACTGACCTACAGTACTTTCAAAGAGAAAGCACTCCACCTTCACTTTCCCTATCAAAGTGGAGAGGGTACAGAACCATTAAGGCTTTAGGTTTCCTCATCTGGAGAAAGTGGGGGGGTGAGTTAGGATTTCAGATCCACAAGTCTATGGAGGTCTCTGATATTCTGTTTGTTCTTGGTTATGTGACCAGGTGGGAACTGTCCCAGGTAACTTATGCTCCCCAGTAGTTGAAGCATGGAAATTTAGAATCAATTTACTCATTTAAGACTCACTCCCAAAGTAGTCCTATCCAGTTTTGTGGCTTTACATATCGTCTACACGATGATGACTCTGCCCAGCCTGGGCGTCTGTTCTGGACCTCAGATGTGTGGGTGTGTGCTTGACAGTCCAGTCACGTGTCTAAAGGCACTTCACACGTATCATGCTAAGAGTTGAACTCTAGGTATTTCTTTTCCAAACCTGCTCCTCCCTTAGGCTTCCTCGTCCTGCTAACTTGCACTTACATTCTCTGCATTGCTGGGGCCAAAACCTCCATGTCACCTTCTGTTCTTTCTCTCTCACACCTGAAACTGCTCAGGTTCTCAACATTTTCTTGTTCCCTTGGCACTGCTTGTAATATTACAGGGCAGGTGTCTTTGTATATGTGTGTTGATGTTCTGTAGGGCAGATTCCTGCATGTGAAATCAATGGCCTAAAGAACATATGCATCCTAATATTTGTGTTTTTGTGTGCGTGTGTTTTGTTTTTTGAAACGGAGACTTGCTCTGTCACCCAGGCTGGAGTGCAGTGTCACGACCTCAGCTCACTGCATCCTCATCCTCCCAGGTTCAAGTGATTCTCCTGCCTTAGCCTCCCAGGTAGCTGGGATTACAGGTGTATACCTGCTGATTTTTGTATTTTTAATAGAGACAGGGTTTTGCCAGGTTGGCCAGGCTGGTCTTGAACGCCTGACCTCAGGTGATCCGCCCACCTCGAATTCCTAAAGTTCTGGGATTACAGGGGTGAGCCACCCTGTCTAGCCAGCATCCTAACAACTGATAGTTACTGCCAGATTGCCCTCCATACAAGCTGTAGCAGTTATTCTCCCACCAGGTACAAGAGAGGGTCTGTTTCCTCTCATCCTTGCTAATTGGAGATAGTCTTGGTTTTTAAAAATTTTTGCCAATCAAGGAGTAAAAAATGTTGTCATATTGTTTTTATTCACACTTCCTTGGTTACCATTGAAGCTCTTCCTTTCAGTGGCCATTTGTGTTATTTTTTATAAACTTTGCTGTTTCTATCCATTGCCCTTCTGTTTAATCATAGAGGCGCTTTACGTGCTGCGTTACAGATACACTGTCTTTTATTCTGTTTTATATATTGACAGTGTGTTCTCCTAGCCCGTTTCTTACCTCAACCTCTTTTTCTTTTGGTTATTTATTACTACCTCGCTGTTTTATTTTTTGTGGTTAAATCTTTTTCCTTTGTGGCCTTCTTGTCAAACCCAGCCTCTTTCATCTCCTGTATGCTGTCGCCAGGCGACGTTGCAGGTTCACATTATGGTATTTTAAGCTATGTTTAGCCGTCACGTATATTGTATCTCAACCAAAATAGATGACATCAGTTTTTATATTCCATGACCGTTTTATTGTTGAAGAATACATGATTAATGAAAAAGTAAAGAACATAAAAATGAAACCCGGCCTCTTTTCCTTTTTGTAGGTCACATCCGTAAAGCAACAGCTAGAAAAAAAACGTGGACGAGTTTAAGCAGAAGTTGTGCAGAGCTGAACAGGCATTCCAGGCAAGTGAGATCCAGGAGAACGAGCTGAGGAGAAACATGGAGGTAAGGGAGGAGAATGCTCAGTTTTCTCCACTTACGTACAGGACCAAGTGCAAGGGGAAAGGAAAATTCCTATTGTATTTGTCAGTAGCTTATCATGACTCTGTGCCTTTTTCTTTTCTATTTACCAGGAGTATTACAGAATGTTCTATATATAACCCATGACAGAGGTATGATTGCTTATTTTTCTATTCTTTATTCTGTATGTAATTACTCATATGCATCTAGCAATTATAGCATACCTAACAATATGCATCTACAACATGACTTGTATTAAGAATATGTGCTCCTGGCCGGGCACGGTGGCTCAAGCCTGTAATCCCGGCACTTTGGGAGGCTAAGGCGGGTGGATCACGAGGTCAAGAGATCGAGACCATCCTGGTCAACATGGTGAAACCCTGTCTCTACTAAAAATACAAAAAATTAGCTGGGCATGGTGGCGTGTGCCTGTAATCCCAGCTACTCAGGAGGCTGAGGCAGGAGAATTGCCTGAACCCAGGAGGCGGAGGTTGCGGTGAGCCGAGATCGCGCCATTGCACTCCAGCCTGGGTAACAAGAGTGAAACTCCGTCTCAAAAAAAGGAATATGTGGTCCTTCCTTAAAGAGTCCCTGGGAGGTGGAAAGATGGAAGAAAGGAAGGAAGGGATTTTTTAAATGGAAGGAAACAAAATTGTGGATGGGTAGTATCATGTAAATCCCTTTTTTAAGTGTTGGCGTTTGAGACTTTCAATATTCAAAACACATGGAAAGTCATAGATTTAAATAAACAAACGTAGTGACAAAGAGTTTCTAGATTAAACATTCTTATAAAACCATCAAGTAATTGTCAATTATTTGACCTGAATGTTCAGCCTGTGCATGCCCTGGTTGACAGTTTCTTTGGAGATCTTGTTTTGTCCACTAAATGGTGGATGAGGATTCTTGAATGGCGTGGATACCCTGATGGGATTTTATGCACACACACTTCAATTTGGCTTCTCTCTTAATTTAGTTAGTGGCCTGGAGTTTATGTTAAAGGGCTTAATTAAGAACCATTCAGTGGCAGTTAATAGACTGAAACAATTTGAATAGAGCCACAAATCAACATTGTAATTTTAAGAAGAGGAACAACACAATAATCGTAGAAATTTCTTCTCCATCAAACCTCACAGGAAAGAATGTTTTTTTCTGTTTATTCTTTAAATGTTCTATGATCACTTTAGGCTGTAAAGATTAAAAAAACTTTCTCTGTAAAGAACAGCTGTTTGTTTGGGTGAGGAAAGTCTGAACGTATGTATCCCCACCGTTTTGCAGAGTGTATCTCAATGGTAAAGTCAGAACATCCTGTCGGTAGCAGACAGGTGACTGTTCAATGAGCTAACTCCCAAAAGGCAATGCTGCTGGGGACAGGGGGCCACAGCTCCAGCCACCAAAGTGGAAGAAAACTTCAAATCAGATGATGGTTTCATCAGCAAACGTTTTCAAATGGAAGCGTTTGTTTCAGCAAAACAAATGTTTGCCTTTTTGCCAGTGGGGACCAACCAACAGATGCTTCTGCTAACATTTCCACAGGCAGACTGGCATCGAACTCTTCCCTCTGTGAGCTTCCCTTTCAGCCAGGAACTCTCCTGCGACTCCACTGGCTGCCTGGTGGAAACATTTTGTAAAAGCAATCATCTGGTTAAGAGAGTCCAAACACTTTTAAAACTGCTCGCTTGGCCAAGTCGGGGTAGTGGGCCGGACGTTGTCTTGCAGGTGTTTCTGAAGACTTGCTCATCCCCACAAGGTCTTGTCTGTGAGCTGTAGAGCTGTGCTCAGTTAACCCTTAGCCTGCACAGAGGCGCATGCATCGTTTCACTGGTATTTCATTGATGTCTGTGTCAAATGAAGGCCTCTACATGAAGGTGCCTAGCACAGGGCCCGGAAATGAAGTTAATATTTGTCTTAATTTATGGTTATGTTTATGTACGTGTCATCTTTTGAGCGTGATAGCAAGATTTCAAAGAGTTTAGCTGGCTCTTGTGTTTTGCATTGGGATGGGGACCATGTAAGTGATGAACCCAGTTTCACTTGTAACTGGGCTGTGTAACTTAGTGGGAAATGGTAGTGGCTTTAGAGTGAGCGAGATGGGAAATTGCATTGCTTTTCTGCCACCTCCTGCTGTGTGACCTGGAGACAATGGCTTACCCTTTCTCAGTCTGACTTTCCTCATCTGCATATAGAGACAAATCAGTCTCTCCCTTTTCAAGGGTGTATTCTTGGTTAAGTTAAATATTGTATGTAAGGTGCTTAGCCCAGTGCCCAGCACTTAAGTGCTCAGTTACTGCAGTCCACCACCTGCTCATTGCTTTGGTCTTTGACTGCCGTGACCTTTTGATGTTAGCATTGTTTGCTGTCACCTACAGGCACAGGAAGTGTGATCAGAGAACAGTGCACTTGAGATTTCTCAGATTTAATATTTTGCCTGTTCTGTTATTGTGTCACTCTGGGTATCTCTCTGTGTCTAATTATACGAGAGCACTAACAAATTTAGCATGCTTATAGGTTTTGGAGGCCGAAATAATGTGACAGTTGTATTGAAATTTTCCCCGTCCATGTTTAGTAAACATGCTGCTCACGATGAGAAATTATCAGTACTGGAAACGCGATTTAATGGCCCAATCAAGGGTAAAGTTAACATTTAGTATCAAAGTGAATGGAGGGTTTAGATAAGCTGCTCGTCCAGTATCCAGTGCCAACCCCGTAGCATTGGGGTTAGGCAATAAAATACCATCGTTTGACAATCAAGGTGAGGGGACACTTGCTAGGGGACCTTTCCAAGGACAGGGATCTGTATTACACTAGGTCCTCTAAGGAGCTGGCTCTGGTAGGCAAGATTGATGAGGAAAGGGAAAAACACATTCTTTGCATCCATCCCTTATCCAAGTATATAGGCTTCCCCCCAGCAGGGGACGTATTAAGCTATATTCATGGATGGGATCATGAAATGCCACACAGTAACTGAAATTTGTTTTGTCTGGCCCTAGGAAATGATGCCTCCCTTGCTGCTCCTAAAGCGAAGTTGATCTGGGTGGAATAGCTTGCTAAACTCTAATCCTGGCCTGTGGTTATAGGGATTTTTGTTGTGTTTTTCCAGCATAGTACCCAATTTTGCAAATCATGTGAGGATGCAAGAGATGCCTAGGAAAATGTATCTTTGTATGCTTAACTCACTGTTGATAATGAGATACCCAATCAAGTCTTAAGTGGCTGTAGCCTTGTGGAAAACTAATTGCCGATGGATGGCAGCCTGCACATCCATTTTCAGATGTTCATTTTCTAAATTTTGGCCTTTTAAAATTCTTGGGTTGGTCATAGCCATAGTATTATAAGCCTGCTGGGTCCCAGGATTGGCTGAACATTTCTTCGTTAGAAACAAATATTTACGGAGCTAATGCCAGAATAGAGAAAGTCATGTTAATCTTTCCATTGAGCTTACTATTCATTTAAATGTCTCCAGTTATGGACAGACATAGATCGAGATTAACAAACGCATAAACATAAAATTCCCCCCCTTTCCCTGGTGCCCTCTCCCTTCTTTTCCCCTTCCTTCCTGTTCGGATGCACCCAGTTTTACACAGTGTCTTTGCAGCTTTCTTGTTATGCCTCCAGATGCAGTTGTCATTTGATTAATTTTTTTTTAGCATATGAAATTATTCTTTTATTTGCAAAATAGAAATGCTAAGTCGACCCAGGTGGTTACAGTGGAGTTCTTCCGTGTTGACCTCATTCAGCTGATATTAGCATTGATCAGAGATCCCGCTACTGTTAAGTTTTGGGAAGGAATGCTACTAATAATGCTACGTTACCCGTCAGAGTGCTTTAAGGCGTTTGTCCTTTCACATCTGTGATCTCATTTGAGGGGTGATTATGCTGAGTCTGAAGAACAAACCAGTCATTATAGGTTCCATAGTTTAATGATGCTAATTTAAATCAATAACATTGTTGCACCTTAATGATTGTGCTTTGCAATATTTAACACTGACTAGTATCAATCTTGAGATCGGTTGGAGCTGCCCTTTAGTTCTGATTGGTATCTTAAGTTGATAGAGTGTCAGTGTAGCTAGCGGCAGGGAAGCAGGATTAGGACGCGGGAGATGAGAGTATAATGACTACAACAGGTCTGTCTTATTTTAATGATGAAATGAACGCATATACATGAACAGAGCAGCTGCCAGCAAGTTTTCAAGTACTTTCTCCTAGCCAGATTCTCCCTCTTCTTGAATTTGGCTTTGCTACATCGGTACCCATCTGCTGGTAGTAACCAGACTGATAATTGAAGGCAGCCTTCCAACACGGTATTGCTATGGCCATCTGTTTTCTAACAGTGCAGTAGGGTTTTGGAGGATGGGTCTTAATTGTTTCTTTAAGATTCAGAATTTTTCCTCTACTTCACAAAGGGGTAATTTTGGTAGTTTTGAAATGCAGTTTAGAAAAAACTTAGCTTTATATGATTTTTTCCCCCTTAAGGATGTGAGGTCCTTGGTTTTTCTCAGTTTGTAATGATATATGCCAATTCCCCGTGGTCCAAAGGGTAGCATACAGTATAGGCTGAGATACTTGTTTGTTGTGTGAATCTTATGTGGTTAATAAGCAGGAGTTTTTCTTTGGCATATAAATAATATTGCTTGCTCCTTTAGATTCAGAACAGAGGCCTCCCTAGATAGTAGAATGGAACCAAACATGTATCTGTGCTACTTCATTGCATGTTGCTGCCTGATATCTCTTTAATGAGGTGCCCAAATAACCTGTTTTCTCTGTGAAATCTCAGAAGCTAGAATTAATTCCTCCTCTGTGTTCCAGCCCTCTGATTTCTCAGAGCACACTCAATGTCTCTTTGGTATTTAGCACTTCCTATTGTGAATTAAATGATTAGTATCGCATCTTTCCCCTCTGGAGGGTGTCTGCCCTGAGGGCAGAGACTCTGTCTTATTTATATTTGCATTTTTCATAATAACCATACCAGCATGTAGAACATTGTTGGTTTTCTTGATAGACATTTATTGAAGGTAATTTTTCCTACAAAGTCATTCCCATAAAAGCAAACCTTAAGACAGTTTTGCAATGAAAAGTAAACATTTATGCTCTCATTTTTTTTTCTTGATTTATTAACAAATCAAATGTTTGCAAAGGTGTATTTGGCCATTCAGATGTGATAGGAACTGGGAGGTTTTGTCTTGAGGATCCTATAGATAGGATTTCCCCTTTGAGCTTACTCTTTAATACGCATATGAACAATAAGAAAGTTCAATGAAACTTACTTCTTCAAAGAAAAAATTTATCTTCAGATTTGGGTTTGGCACTGTTGTCTTGACTTCTGTTCATAACATTATTTGATTTAAGGAAAGCCTGCCTTCATTAGGTACTCAGAGGGAAAGTCTGATTGTTTCCCTAGGGGGATACACAAACAGTTCTGCTAGGGACCTTTACAGAGGCAGAAGACATAACTTACTTGAGCATTCGTTTTGGCTATAACCGATTAAATGTGTGTTTTAGGAAATGAAGAAGGAAAATAGCCTCCTTAAGAGTCAATCAGAGCAAATGGCCAGAGAAGTCTGCCACCTGGAGGCAGAACTCAAGAAAGTCAAACAGTGTTTAAATCAGAGCCAGAATTTTGCAGAAGAAATGAAAGGTAAGTAAACTTAGTGTTTTAGAGTTAACTTTCTAAGCTATTATTTCCATGAGAGAGGATGGATGACATTAACATATTAGAGAAACTATGGATTTTTTTTTCATATATTCCCCTAAAAAGATGTGTGCAGTTGATGTGGAAGAGCTTTCCCTCTTCCATTTAGTTTGCAGAATGAGAGTGGGACGTTTTTTAAATTGGAACATATTGAGTCCCAAATGCCTGGTGCTCAGCACTTTGAAACCAGAGGGTAAATATTTTCCACACAAAGCTAAATTGTCAGTGCTGCTCTCACCCCTGAGTGCTATTCTGTGTCTCAAGTGAGCTTGTTAGATCCAGACAGCTCATCTCCTGACTCATTACCATTTCCCTTATAATGGAAAAACCCTATATTAAATGCATGTTTTCCAGGCACCTAATGACCATTGTTTTTTGATGACTTACTTGACTGATTTTATTTTCTTATTTTAAAGCCAAAGAATTCCGCTTTGCACATCAAATGAATCCACTCTTGGTTTCATATTTGTGTGTTTGTGCTGGATGTGTTCTACATACCCTTATTTTCTCACCTGGGGTGTTTTCAAGTCTAGGATTTCTTTGAACTCTGTCCTGCGGAATGTGTGTCACACTTCTCTGTGACTTTTTTTTTTTTCTTTTGAGATGGAGCCTAGCTCTGTCACCAGGCTGGAGTGCTGTGGCATGATCTTGACTCACTGCAACCTTTACCTCCTGGGTTCAATCGATTGTCCTGGCTCAGCTTCCCGAGTAGCTGGGACTGTACTATAGCTGGCCTAGAGTTAGAACCTGAACAATGCCATTTTATACAAGACAAAGCTGTTTTTCAGAAATAAGTTGTAACGGCTGCCCCATTTTCCTCACGATAACTGCTGGCCTTGGCTTCTGTAAATAAAACTGCTACCTTGCTCTGTAAAATGCCCACTATCTAAAGCTGCTTACCTTTTCTTATTAGTAACTGCCCGAATTGCTGGCCTTTGCTTACCAGTAATGACCAGAATAAGCAGCCCAAGCTAATTCCATCCTGGCCCCTGTGACTTGTAATAAGTAACTAAAATCTGTGGATTCCACCACTGCCCAGATGATGTGTAAACTAACGCTTATCTTAACTTCTGTAAACCACTCGGGTAACAATCGAAGTGACAACAAGTCCCCTAGGCCTTGGAATGTCCGGAGACCTGCACCTTCCTCTCTGCCCGGGAGGTGATTTACAGAATCCCCTGGCCCTCAGAATGTCTGAATCCCTTCACCCCCACCCCCGCCCCACACCCTCACCCTGGAGGTGGTTTGCGGGCATAAAAAACCCTCCTTTCGGGACCATGAGTTGGAGAGACGTGAGTCCTCCATGGTCGCTGGCAATAAAGACCCTGCAATTTGGCATACTTTTGTCTTGGTGCTAATTTTGTACTCGATCAAATACTTCAGGATTACAGGCGCGTGCCACCACGCCCAGCTTATTTTTGTATTTTTAGTAGAGATGGGGTATCACCATGTTGGCCAGTATGGTGTCCATCTTGTGACATCGTGATCCACCGTCCTGGGCCTCCCAAGTGCTGGGATGACAGGTGAGCGCCACAGTGCCTGGCCCTGTTTTCTTTTTAAAACCCCAATCTCCCCAAGACAGCTTTCAGTTTTTCCACAGCAGCAGGTAGCAGTGTCAGCCTTGAGCTCTCTTGAAGGGAATCTGTAAGAAAAGGAACAGTTGGGGCATTTTTCAATGTTGGTCACTCATGTGATTGATTGAGGTGCTCACAGCAAAGTGGGTTAAAGTCCTTGTGGTGCTGTCTACACAAGCCCTCAACTGTCTGTAGGTAGACTGAGATTGGCAGGTTGGAAGTATGTACTTCTTTCCACTTGATGCGATGTCTGAGATTGTGATACATGTTACCTTTATCATCTACTGAGGAGGTTTCTCAACTTTTAACCTCTCCCCAAATACTTGAGCAACTTGAAGCCTCTCATCAGTTTAATGAAAACATGTGGTTATTCCCAACCAGGAGGGGCCAGTGTGTATAGATGAGTCATTGGGTAGAAAACAGAGTAGTAACGGAGTTTGAAGAAGCTTGCAGATGACTGTCACATTCATAGACACTGTCGTTTTTGCTCTGAGGGGCTGGGGTGGGGTGATAATGTTCTTCAAGAATATTCACACGTAGGCCTTGAGGAGTACTGATATGTGGCATCGTTTCCTCTTTTCTACTGAAGTCTAATCTTTGGATGTTCTGGCTAAATGGTGGTGTACTTACTGACTTTTCTGGGACATCAGGATTATTCTACAATGAAGTGGAATGTTCCCATTTCAGTGCTGTTCTTGTCCCAGTTTTCTCTCTTTGAATAAATATTTGAAAAGATGGTAAAAATACACACATATATGAACATATACAAAGAAAAGAAGAGACAGTTTCAAGTGCTTAGGAAAGTTGTCCCTTGGTATTTTATTCCAAGCTATCGAAGCTACTAGAAAGAAGATGAATAAACATGGTACTATCTTTAAGATAACCATTTTTCTCATTGTTTTTATATAATTATCAAGCGATCCACTTTCTAGGGGGTACCCAGGCAATAATGCCAGTTTTCCCAGGGCCTGAGAAGTTGTTTGTTTGAATTTTTTTTTGTGGTGGGAGGGGTTAGCATTCTTTAGAATAAATATTTATTACAAACATTGACAACTTTTATTTATTTATTTTTAAATAGTGAAGTCCTCTCAGGAAACCATGTTAAGAGATCTTCAAGAAAAGATAAATCAGCAAGAAAACTCCTTGAAGCTTGTTGACTCATTAAAAGCTGAAAATTTGGTCTTGTCAACGAATCTCAAAAACTTTCTCTTTTTTTCTTTTTTTAGGTGGAGTTTCGCTCTTGTTTTCCCCGGCTGGAGTGCAACGGCGGGATCTCGGCTCACCGCAACCTCCGCCTCCTGGGTTCAGGCAATTCTCCTGCCTCAGCCTCCTGAGTAGCCGGGATTAAAGGCACGTGCCACCATGCCCAGCTAATTTTTTGTATTTTTAGTAGAGATGGGGTTTCACCATGTTGACCAGGATGGGCTCGATCTCTTGACCTTGTGATCCACCTGCCTCGGCCTCCCAAAGTGCTGGGATTACAGGCGTGAGCCACCGCACCCGGTGAATCTCAGAAACTTTCAATGTGACTTGGTGAAGGAGATGTAGCCGGGCTTGGAGGAGGGGCTCGTTCCATCCCTGTCATCCTCTTGCCTGCCTGTCAGCCCTAGTCTTAGCAGTTTGGGAGACTGCTCCTTTTGCAAAGCTCTTTTAGAACAGACAGGAGAAACGTCTCTTTTGAATAATGTAGAAGGGAATGTTTCAGCAAACCAGAGCCGTGTAGATGAAGTAGTTTACAACAGTCTGGAGGAGGAGAATCTGACCAAGAAAGAAATCCCTTCGGCCTCAGTGAAGAGTGTTGAAGAGCTTGAGTCCTTCTGCCAGGTGTACCAGCAGTCTCTTGAGAAACTAGAAGAGAAAATGGAAAGTCACGAGATTATGAAAAATAAGGAAATTCAAGAGCTTGAACAGTTACTAAGTTCTGAAAGGCAAGAGCTTGACTGCCTTAGGAAGCAGTATTTGTCAGAAAATGAACAGTGGCAACAGAAGCTGACAAGTGTGACTCTGGAGATGGAGTCCAAGTTGGCAGCAGAAAAGAAACAGACGGAACAGCTGTCACTCAAGCTGGAAGTAGCACGACTCCAGCTACAAGGCCTGGACTTAAGTTCTCGGTCTTTGCTTGGCATCGACACAGAAGATCTAAGTACCTGGGATTTAAATGCTATTTCTCTGTTTACGTGACCAGTAGACACTCAGTAAATGTCTGCCTAATTGAAATGCATATTAAGTCTAAGTTAAAATATTTTGAGGGTTCGGCAGGGTGCGGTGGCTCACGCCTGTAATCTCAGCACTTTGGGAGGCTGAGGTGGTAGGATCACCTGAGTTCAGGAGTTTGAGACCAGCCTGATCAACATGGAGAAACTGTCTCTAAAAGTACAAAGAATTAGCTGGGCTGGGAGGCTGAGGCAGGAGAATCGCTTGAACCTGGGAGGTGTAGGTTGCCGTGAGCTGAGATGGTGCCATTGCACTCCAGCTTGGGTGACAGAGTGAGACTCCGTCTCAAAAAAAAAAAAAAATTTTTTTTTAGGGTTCAAGGAAATAAAATACACCAAAATGTTTTCAAAACAAACCAGAACTTAAGAAAATGAGTAAACAGGCTGGGTGCGGTGGCTCAGGCCTATAATCCCAGCACTTTGGGAGGCCGAGGTGGGTGGATCACGAGGTCAAGAGATCGAGACCATCCTGGTCAACATGGTGAAACCCCGTCTCTACCAAAGATACAAAAAATTAGCTGGGCAAGGTGGCGCATGCCTGTAATCCCAGCTACTCGGGAGGCTGAGGCAGGAGAATTGCCTGAACCCAGGAGGCGGAGGTTGCGGTGAGCCGAGATCCCGCCATTGCACTCCAGCCTGGGTAACAAGAGGAAACTCTGTCTCAAAAAAAAGAAAGAAAAAAAAAAGAAAAAAAATGAAAATGAGTAAACTTTATTTGAGGAATAAATTTCTATAGTGATTAGATTTACACAGTATTATGTAGGATATTACTAAAGATGTTTTTAAAGTCTGGAGAAAATTATATTATGGAGTCAGAAAGTCTTTAGAATGTGTGTTTCCACCCTTTGTGCATTAATAAAGTATACTTAATTATTTAATTAAAAACTTATGAATGGTAATATGATGTGAATTTTTAATCTCTTTTGCACTTTTCAAGCTATTTTTGATGTTATAGCATTATTGTCATGAAACCAAATGTAGGAGATTATATGTTGCTAAACAGTTTTCTCTCTAACCATTTACTACGGTGAAAAATGTGATTTGGTATAAGTAATTTAAAAGGATTTTTAAAAACTTGAACACATAATTGTTTAATTGCTTATAACTTTGTTCTTTCTAGTCTGCTAGCTTATTTAATAATGCTATGTAGTGTATGAATGTCACTTGATTCCCTCTGTCTCTGTGAGGCAGAGAAGGCAGGTCATGGTGAGGTGATGGCAGGAATAGGCACAACAGCAGATCCCCAGTTTACAGAGGAGAGGAAAGTGAGGCTTAAATATGTAATTTATCCAATTATGTAGAGTAAGGGCTGGATTTGGGATTAAGTCTTTGAGCTGGGATACTGGTCATGAAACCTCTACTGCCTTATTAAAGAGTATCATAAATACTGAAGGTGGAAGCTGAGCTTAACCTCTACTGCCTTATTAAAGAGTATCATAAATACTGAAGGTGGAAGCTGAGCATTTTGTTAGCCTCTTACTTAATAATTACAGAGGAAGATCCTGTCTTAAAAATAAATAAATTAATTAATTAATAAAGACCATAAATGCCTTTATATCTGTTCAGGTTGGGTTTTGCCTCTAAATCCTTTTCATAGCTCTTTTTTGATTTGGGAATTCTGAATAAGGATATGAACTTGTACCACTCAGAAGAATTATGAGGACACAATTCTCCCACCGTTCTATTGTCTTTCTATTTGAGCCACAATACAATTTAACATTGTATAGTGAGCTATAATATCATTTGGCCTTCACTTAGTATGGATAAAACAAATACCACGGCAGGTATTGAAACTGCAACAGTGTGATTACAAATTCTCTCACTGAGAATTTTGGACCCACCAAGAATATGTTCCTGGTCTCCCTGCCCAGTAATCCAATGCGATTTCCACCGGATAAATACAGACACAGTGGGCACTTAATAGACATCTCAGGAACCACAGCTTATACTTGTGATTCTAAGAAAGAGAAAAACAAAAACCACATTGTCAATTAGGAGGACTTAGGATACTGAGTAGAGAAGAATGGTTTTTTGCATCTTTAGATTTTTTTTGCAAATCTAATAATTCTTAAATTTATAATATATGAATCTTGTATCTCATTATTTTTCCATTTGCTTATAAAAAGAAATTCAAGGTTTTAAATGGAATTGCTTTTATTTTGTAGATGGACAATCTAAAAATCTGTAAATCAGTTGAATGAACATGCCCAGGGGAAAATAAAGTTGTTGATGAAATCCTGTAAATAGCTGGAAGAGGAAATGGAGACACTGCAGAAAGAACTGTCTCAACTTGAAGCTGCACAGGGGAGGCAGAAAACAGGTGGGTGTTAACTAGGGCACATCAGCTAGCTAGAACTCTTTTCCAATAGTGAAATAACACACGGTGTGAGTGCATAGGAACTATTTTTAGTGCTGTGTTCTATTACTGAGTGCTGATTTTTCAGCATTAATCCGTTTTCCAATTTCTGAATTTTCCTATATTCTGAGTCATTATAGGACTAGAATGAAGCCTTTTTTGTTTGTTTGTTTTTGAAACAGTGTCTTGCTATATCACCCAGGCTGTGCAGTAGTGCCTTTATGGCTCCTTGTAGCCTCGACCTCCTGGGTTCAAGGGATCCTCCCACCTCAGCTTCCCGAATAGCTGGAACTATAAGCAGGTGCCACCAAGCCTGACTAATTTTTGTATTTTTTGTAGAGGCAAAGTTTTGCCATGTTGCCCAGGCTGGTCTTGAATTCGTGGTCTCAAGCAGTCTGCCCACCTGGGCCTCCCAAAGTGCTAGGACTACTGGCATGAGCCACCATACTTCGGCTGAATGAAGCCATTTTGAAGTAGAATTATTGCGTCTTCTGTTCGATAAAACATGCAAAAAACTGGTGGCATTTTTTACTAATGAGCCGTTCTAAGAAGAGTTTTTTATGGTGATGTCCAGTTATGTGGTTTCTTTGTCAATAGATTGGCATTGAAGTTGGCTTTGGTAATTTATAAATAGCTGACCCTGGTTGTCCTTGGTCCATTCATATGGGTCAACTAAAGGGAATGGGTGAGGGTGGGAGGTATATATTTAGTTGTGTAGGCAAAATAGAAAAGGAAAGAATGATAACTCTCCTTGTCACTTTTATCCACTTATGTCCCTGGAGCGGCAGGTGCTTACTGTGTGGGTAGATGGCGACAAGCATAATCTGACTGGTTTCTCTGGTTTGTAGCATGGCAGAGTGTGGGTCAGCAGTCTTCCCTGTTGGAAACAGTGCTCAGGGTAGACTAGGGCTTCAGGAGATTTTTCTAACAGATTTAGTATCACCTATGGCAGCTGTAAGTTGACCAAGATTCTCACCTGTATAGTGTTGCCCCAAACCATTGTTCATCAGACCCTCCATTGCCTTCAAATGCTTTCAGAGTGTTTTTAGGATTTGCCTGGTTATTGGTTAGACTCGTGTCTCCCAAAGTCATCTTTACTGACTTCTGTTCATCCACTTATGGTAGACAGAATGGACTGGGGAAAACAAGGGTGTAAAAATGAATTTATTGACTGCATATAACTGGTGCTACAAAAAAATTTAATGAGTTGGCTGAAATATGTGTTTGAGATTTTGGTGGATTTTATTTAAGCTGTCCCAATGAGTGTCATGGGACTAGAATATCTACCTTGATATGATACCTCCCAAACGAGAGTCGTTTGAACTATAAGAACATATACAGATATATCTCCCCCATCTCTTCAAAGAAAGAACAAATCTAAGATTATCTGCTTCACGGTGCCCATTGTTAACTAGAGAAGCATCAAGTTGCACATGATGTGTTGCTTTATTTTGGACACGTACTGTTTTGGATGCTAAGGTTGATGAATTCATGATTGAGATCAAAGAACTGAAAGAAACTCTTGAAGAAAATACCAAGGAGGCAGATGAATACTTGAATAAGTACTGTTCCTTTCTTAGAAGCCATAAAAACTTAGAGGAAGCCAAAGAGATGTTAGAGATACTAGTGGCCCATCTCTGTTCACAGCAATCTAAACAAGATTTCCTTTGCTAGATGCAGCTGTTCCAGGTCCATCTCCAATTCCTTCTGCTACTGAAAAGAGGTTAGCATCTGACCAAAACAAAGCTTCAGGCAAGAGGCAAAGGTCCAGTGGGATATGGGAAAATGGTAGAGGACCAACACCTTCTACTCCAGAGACATTTTCTAAAAAAAGTAAGAAAGCAGTCGTGAGAGGTATTCACCCTGCAGAGGACACGGAAGATACTGAGTTTGAACTAGAGGGACTTTCAGAAGTTGTAAACAAAGGTATGCCTAATTTAAAAACAAAATTATTTGTGTTCTTTGGAAATTCCATGTAATAGTTCACATATAAAAAGGCAAAAGCATTTGCTTTTTACATTATTGTGCAATAATCTCATTGGCGTTCATAAACAATAGTCTGCTTTTAAATGGATGGGGCATATATTTTCCTCAAGGAGTTAATTACTTGTGTCACATTAACAAAAGAGCTGGTAGATTGGAAAAATGACGGAAATCTGTTTAGAATTTGTTATTTGAATGCTGAAAAGAATCATTAAAGCAAGGACACCCTTCAAAGTTTCCTCCGTTTGGTCACGACTGACCTAGCTAGCAGATGAGCTGGAGGGTGTACCTGACTGGAACTACTGACTACACTTCATTTTGTTTTGTTTTTAAACTTGGTTCTCCTTCAAGTCCGGCCCAGGGACTGTGCCAGTCTAGGAACTGTTTGTTACTAGTTCCTGACTGAAAAAAATCTATACAATTAAGTAGGAATTTAGGAATTTTCATAGCAACCTGACATTTTTGCAACATCCAAGCACATAATCATTGTTTTTTCTGTTGATTTCATTCTCATTCTATTATACAAAAATATTATTCCACAGCAGATTGGAAATTCTTCCACCTGCCCCCACCCCCCGCCAACTGCCCCCAAATATCAAAACTGATTCTTCGCCATAGTTGGTTTGAAAAGCATTGTTCTGAGTAACTCAAGCCCAAAAATAGTTAGCTGTCTCTCGCTGGTAATTTTTATATGTAGTTAAAATGTGAAAAACAAAAACGAATGCTGCTTTAGTTAGCCCCGAATGCAGTTCAGGAGTGTTTGTTGATACGCTAACTCTGAGTATCCCTGGGACTGACTTTCTTCTCTGGGTCACGTCACTTCCTTCTATGGAAAGAGATAACAGGAGTGAGTCTGAAATCACCTTTAGGAAGGTCAGTCAAAAATTTCTCCTCCCACCTACATGAGAGTGCTCGCCTGAAGTAGCTGCTACCATTTGACACTCCCCCTGTAAACAAGCACTTGCCTTTTTTTTTTTTAAATTTTATTTTTCTATTATACCCTCTTTTTTCCCCCAACCCAATTTTACTATAAGGCCTGCTGGCGTTCTTTAGATCTTAGAAAAATGCATAGTAAAACATCCATGTGGAAGAGAGAAGCAGAAAGGTTTTTTCTTTGTAGTGTTATTTTCCCCTTCTCTCATTGCTGTTTTCTATGTTTCTTGATTCAATTTGGTGACGCCCAGGGCAACTGACCGCCACGGCTAGGACAAAATATTTTTTGGAGTTGGCTTTATCCTTGTTAAAACCACCTGGTGAATATCATTTCCACTGTAGGTAGAACTGGACCGAGCAGTGCTGACAGTTAGCTTGTTTGCGCTTAGGGTTTGCTGACATCCCAACCGGAAAGACCGGCCCATATATCCTGCAGGAAAACAACCATGGCAACTCGGACCGGCCCCCACCTGGCTGCACAGAAGTTAGCACTCTCCCCACTGAGTCTCAGCAAAGAAAATCTTGCAGAGTCCCCCAAACCAACAGCTGGTGGCAGCAGATCACAAAAGGCCAAACTACTGTCAACATTCATCTACTGTTCTGTGATATTAACAGGGTGAGGATTAGACACTGCACTCCCTAATTCAGGCACCCTTTCAAAAAGTCTGATCTTCTTGGCGTGGTGTAAGTCAGTAGTGAGCAAGTGAGAGGGTGAGCATGGTAGTATCAGGGTACATGATCTTATCCTTGACTCAACAGGCCACTTATGTGTAGTCTGGAAAATGGCATTGTTAATCAAACTCAGTGGATTTTTAAGAAAGTTTCAGGCATTACTGATGAAGGATCTGAAGAGGTAATTTTCCTTTTTGCCACCGGTATTAGTCATAGTTTGTTTCAAACTTTCACTTACCTGCCCCCAGCTGCTAATTCTTTGTTTTTATTAATCCTTTACTTTCTTAAAAAAAAAAAAAAGCACATATTTCAGTAGATAAATTTAAGAAAAGGAATTCTGTTTATGGATTTCTCTCTTTTGCTTGTTGAGGATATGACAGAATCTTAGTGACCTCTGTGTACCTTACAATATCCCAGAAAATGTTCTGTAGAACATATAGAATATTTGCTTAACAGATCTTCATTCCGGTTACTTTTAATTTTTTTTCCAAGATGGGGTTTCACCATGATGGCCAGGCTGGTCTTGAACTCCTGACCTCAGGTGATCCATCCACCTCGGCCTCCCAAAGTGCTAGGATTACAGGCGTGAGCCACCGCGCCCGGCCTATCCCAGTTATTATGGTCCATACCAGCTGCTACCATTTAAGTACGCGAAGTATATGCATTTTATTTATCTTTCTCATTTTATTGAACTCTCACAGTTATGTAAAAGAGTGAAGAACATGAGACATAAAGATTTAATCTCCCCTTGTGAACCCTTATTTTCTCTTGACTCCACAGTCTTGATCTTTCTATGATACTAGTGTTTCTTAGACTAGAGTCTAGGGGAATATTTTTGGAAGTTGCTGGAATAGCTTCAAAGGGTTTGAACAGTCTGTGATTTTACCTTGATTGCTCACTTGTCAGAGTTTGATCAAGTATGCGAGCTGATAACCTTGAACCAGAAAACAAAGCTTTGAAAGTGTCATAACCCCTATTTGTGTAATGTGATAATTCACAAGTGAGCAAGCACGTTCTTAGGATTTTGGATTCTAAATATGAACATATTGGTGGTTATACATGGGAGATCTAAAGGGCGTAATATATTTAGATTTCTTAATCTAAATGTCACAACAACAGATTGGCAAATTTGTTTTTGTTGATGCATAAAAGCTATAAGCTATAATACTAAGAATTATCTTAGTAATAAGTTTGTCATAATGCTCATTATAATACAAATTTTATTAATTCAAGTATGAAGAAGAAGGATCTGAGATTTTCTTTCACTCATTAAAATGGACCCATTCGTTACTCCTATTATAAATATTCTACCATTTTGTGCAAATTGTCCTCCCCTACCCCACCAAATTCTCTCTCTCACTCACATTTGGATTTAACTTTTACATGCTGCCAGCAACAAAATATTGAAGTATATACTGGAGAATATATATTTAATATACTGAATATACTGATTTTCCAGTGAACACAAGAACAGCTTCTCTTTTAAGCAACTAGTGCCCCTAAAGAGTGGGGCTACCAAGCTTGTCCAAAGCTATCAACTACAAGATATCCACTGGATACTAAATACAGAAGGAGTCAGGTTTAGGGTCCTGATATGGGCTGTGCCATTTTCTTAGAAGGGTGACTGGGGGCCACCCTTTGGGAAAAACTAACATCCATTCCTGTTTGTCTCATCCTTATGGAGATCAAATGAAGTGTTTGTCTGATTCTCTTAGAACAGAAAACCATGACATAAGCTAGTACTCTGTGCCTCCACTGTCTTTAGGAAGCTCTCTTTATTGTAATCTTTTGCTTAAATATCTGTCTTCTGATTTGCAATCTGAGTTCTGTAAGGTTACTGATTATATCTATAGTTTATGTCTAAGGTAGTGTCTGACATTCAACAAATATTCATTAAATGAATGAACTGATTATATCTATAGTTTATGTCTAAGGTAGTGTCTGACATTCAACAAATATTCATTAAATGAATGAACTGTGAATGTCCTGAAGTGATTGCATTAATAGATGTTTATTAAGGCAGGCTAGGAAATGTCTTATTAAATAATCATGAGTCATTTTTTTGCTGTTATGAAGAACTGATGGTAAAAGCAGTTTGCATGTGGTGTTCAGACTTACTATCTAGGAAAAAGAGCTTTGCACGCTAGGGGGCCTGCTCTCCTCACTGCTGTTGAATCTGCTGAGTATGGAATAGTAACCATGGTTTCCTGCAGATTGTGTTCAGTGCATTAGCTACATGCCGTTCAGTAGGTACCAGCAGTTATGAATTGCTAAGCAATTTTGTGCACCTGCAAATGTGGAGGGGGTCCTTTTGAGAGCAGTAGTAGGAGACTTCATGATTAGATTCAAACCCTTAGAAAGCTAGCCTAGTAATCTTTAATTTAATTCAGCTTCTTCTAAGTTGCCCTGTAAAATGCCTGCCTCATCTGTTAAGCATATTTTATCACTTAGTTTTAAAAATCTAGAGCAAGGTCTTATTTCCCAAAACAGTTGCTTAGAAACTCAGGATTGTGAGTTCTCCTTTGAGGTGACTGGCTAAGTTATGAGAGAGACAGTTTCCTAGGTCATTTAGCAAGACCTTTAGTGACATCTGACAAGTTTAGAAGGGAAAAAATGGGCAAAATGCACATTAGGTGAGGATCATTCTGGATTATGTCACTGGGACGGATAAGCTTAGGAACTTCTGTTTTGTTGGGAATAAGGGAGACAGCGGTTGTAGACCTATCTCCTGAACCTGGGCTTTGTGATCAGTTCCAGAGGACTGGCCAGTAAGCTGTAGAGCCCATCATGGATGGTGGCGTTGGTTGTCTGGGGGTCTTGCATTTTTTCCTACTTTTGAGGTTCATTTTCACTGAACTATCTGCATATTCGCCCTATCCCTATTACAACTGAAGAATCAGTTATGAGACAATTAGGGTATGCATGTACTATTTTTCCCCTGTGTTATTCTAGGAGGATGTACTATCTTAATAGATTAAATACTTGGTGAATTTGACTTTGTCTGGTTATAGACCATTCTGAAGCTAACTAACTAAAAGATAATCTACAGTTTAAATTCTGATCACAACTATAGTGTCCTCAATTCAGTATCTGAAATTGAGTCTAGAGGGGAGAAGCCAAAAAAAAGTGGACGTTAGCCATTTGATTGGGATAGAGTCTTACAGGTTCAAATTTTCTATTTCCTGTAGGGTATCTGTCTCTTTCTCTCTTTTTAAATGGCAAACCTAAAGATTGTTTCTTGTACCTCTGGTGGGTTCCAGGGAAACCTTGTCTTTGGAATCACTATTTCTCTGGAAAAAAAAAAAGTACCAGCAAAACTCTGTTTTATTTTTTTTTTTTAACTTTCCATGGATGGTAATTTTCCATTAAGTCTTGATCTTCCAAGGCTGCGTCTTTTCAGTGTCCTGGACATACCCCAAGGGAAAAGTGAGCTTTCCTGGGATTTGATCTGTTGGCCAGATTTGCTATGTTTCATGTAATGAAAAGTATTTAACTGTCTTTTTCAAACCACATGCTTCCTATGGAAAGAATACAAATGAGAAAATAATTTCCATTCCCTTTCTTCCTGCATCAGAAGGAGATCCAGGGAGTGTCTGTCACGTAGTGACTTCTCAGTGCCTGTGCTGGACACAGATCCTTGTGTCCATTATGCAAGAGGCCCTTCTCCTTTCTCTCTGAAAGATCTTCCTACTTGAATCTTCCACTCTTGCCTTTAACTTTGGCTAGGTGAAGCTTTCCTAAACTTCATTTTTCTTGCTCTTTTTTGACCCCATATATATTTTTTTACTATATTAAGTACATTTTTAAAAAAAATCTTGCTCTGTCACCCAGGCTGAGTGCAGTGGCAAATCATGGCTCACTGCAGACTCAAACAACGGGGCTCAAGTGATCCTCCTGCCTCAGCCTCCTGAGTAGCTGGGACTATAGGTGTGAGCCACTAAGCCTGGCCCAGTTTTAAAATATCTTCACTTATCAGTTACCTTACTCTCTCATCTACTTAAAGTCTTACATTTTCTGAGATACGTCTTTCTTTTAAAAGGCAGGATGTTTGAGAGGAGATTTATTCTTTCTGGACTTTATTGTTAGATAGCTGCCCTTCTGCTACAGTCCAAATTCAATATGGAAATAACCAACCATAAAGGGAAAATGATTAAAATACCCTGAATAGTTCCGTGGTCATTTTAAAATTTTCCACGCTGTGGAGGTAATATTACTCATTTGGGTTATACTTGTTTTAAACAACAGCAACGGCTAGTTAGGACAATGGAGGCAGGTTTCTTCACTTAGGAATTCACTGGACATGTACCTTGTGGTCAAGCATGCTGTGGGCACCAGGGATACATAGGTATATACGTAGTCTTTGCCATCAGAGGTGCCAAGGGAGGATTGATAACTTGTTAGAGGTTGCACCTGATATCCTCCTAACTTCTCTGTTAGGTGGGGCCTGTTTTCAGGGAAGAGGAAATACCACAGTTATGTATAACTCACAGAGAAGAAGAATTTAACTTAAAACTTAGTGAGATAGTACTTTATTTTTCATATTGTAGAAATGTGAGTGTGACTGAAACCTCTAACAAAGATGTTTGTGTTACAGGTCAAAGCTGCTCAGCAGAGCCCAGTGGATTCAGGCAATCCTCCGAGAACCCACCACGAAATCTCTCTTGGTCAATAAACTTCCTGAGAGAAGTCCGGCTGACAGCCCCAGAGAGGGCCTGAGGGCCAAGCGAGGCCGACTCACCCCCAGCCCCAAAGCTGGCGTGGTGCCCAAGGGCAGTGAGAACTGTAAGGTCCAGTGAAGACACCTTGTGTCAGTACCCCTGGGAGGTGACAGTCATTGAATAGATAAGGCTCTGCCTACAGGACTTTTCTTTAGCCAGGGAGCACTTTATCAGTGAGGAGAAAACAATTTCTTAGGAGTCTTAAATATATTGTACCTTTTACCCATGTGTAGGTATTGAACAAGTTTAGAAGGAGTGATCACCTATTAGGATTAACATTCCTCTCCTGTAATATAAATAGTATAAAACTATGTATATAAAGCTTTTTAGTAATACGTTATAAATAAAATGATAAGCACTGTATCATCTCTTGTTTGTATGTGGATTTGACACTAAAAAATGCAAAACACAGTTTATACTTTCAATTAACAGCTCTAGGAAAATGCAGACTTTTGCTTAATGATACTCTTCTATTGGTAGTATTAGGCATGGAATAGTTTTGGATGGAGAATTTCTTCGAGGTGAGTAAAGTGAAGGAAAAGAATGTTATATGTTTTTAAGGAAAACATGCACACATATACATGCAGGAGTGTTTATTTTTCTCTTCCAGTCTGTTTTAGACATCTTTGCTTATGTAACCTGTATATATGTGTGCGTGGGTATATGCTTACTTCCAATTAGGGTTGCAGGCTTCCTAGAGGTGTGCTATACTCTGTGTTTGTCATTGTGTTTTTTCTTTTTTAAGACCACTTTTTCTTTTTTTTGAGACAGAGTTTCACTTTTGTTACCCAGGCTGGAGTGCAATGGCATGATCTCAGCTCACTGCAACCTCCGCCTCCTGGGTTCAGGCAATTCTCCTGCCTCAGCCTCCTGAGTAGCTGGGATTACAGACACGCGCCACCATGCCCAGCTAATTTTTTGTATTTTTAGTAGAGACGGGGTTTCACCATGTTGACCAGGATGGTCTCGATCTCTTGACCTCGTGATCCACCTGCCTCGGCCTCCCAAAGTGCTAGGATTACAGGCGTGAGCCTGTATGTCTTATGTGCCCGGCCATAAGATCAATTTTTTACAGTTATTTGGTATGCATTTTCATACCTGGTGATGTATTAACATATAGCCTTTGTTTTCTAGTAACAGAATCACCTTCATTTTCTGTAAGAATGATTCCTAAGTGTAAGGTATTATGAATATTGGTACTGTTTCTTGCTAACTGCAACAGCCTCTTATAAAAGTAAAAATGTTTGAACAAATGATACAGATCTTTAAACAAAAGATCTTAGCATACTGAGTTGTATTGAAAGACACAATTTGGAATATGGGTCATAAGGAGTATATGGGAATATAATACGTCCAGCCCAGTGCCTCCTACATTTGTGTCTCCATTAAACCACATCATCGAGGATACAGGTATGTGGTATTTCCCAGCTCACTTATTGATGATAATATAGTTTTGAAAACATGCAGGCATTATGAGCCTTGTCAGAAGCAGAAAGATTTGAACAAGTTCTAAACGTTCTTGAATCAGGGTAAAAAAGTTTCCTAGGACATGTGCTAGAAAAAGATCATGGCTTTTAGTCCAGATTGATACATAAACCTCAATAAGCACCTTCATTTATATTTAAAAGTTGCCCTTTGCAAGGTGACCTCTGTTGTTGGATAATGCTTCAATAACATTAAGCTACTTAGTATTCATCAACTGAAAGTGATATCCTGAGTTTCCTCTTCTTTCTGCAGTTGCTTGGGCTTGAGGTCTGGTGCAATATCCTTACCATAAATCATCCCGGGGCTGCCATGTGTTCAAGGGCATGACCCCGAGCAGACTTTGTTGGGATCAAGCCATCAGCTTTGTTGGCTGTCTCCAGCGATTGGAAGATTCCACTCAGGAGGCTTTGCTGGGTAGTGTCATGGGTCCTTGAAAGCATCTTCATCTTTTCCTAGGTGTGCTGTAGCTACTGCTCTTGTTACTTGGATACTTCCATTTTTATAATTATAGAGAGTTGTTCCAAATCTTGTAAGTGGACAACCAGGGCATTATTCTTTTCCTCAAGCTAACAACACTTGTTCTGCTGTGAGCTGAGCTGCATATGGAGTGAAAAGTAAACATGCTACCATTCCAACTCACAAGTACCTTATAAACCAGTTGAGTCATTAGTAAGATTCCCACTGACAAATCATATGGGAAAGCGAATCAAGTCCAGATACCTGGGAATCAGATTCTCTTCTGTACAATGAGGGGCTGGGTTGAGATGATTCTTTTACCGTGAATATCGTATAAGAACTGAAATGGACCTTTGGGTTATTGGGAATTGCTGGCAGTCTAAGGAGACTGCATCTTCAAAAAGAAAGAAAGAAAAATCAAAATGTAAATGTAGCCTGATTTCTTGAGACACTCCTCCCCTCACCCTCTCACTTGCCTTCTTTGAGATTTGTGATTTTTCTCATTTGATCCCAGTTTGTTTATTTTGTTGGAATTAGTAAATTTTCACAGATTTGTTTGCACCTAGAAAGAAGCTGAGGGTACTTCTTCCTAGGGGCCCCTAACTCAAGGAGGGGAGAGCTCTTCCACTTTCCAACTGGTTTGAGTCTGCAAAAGTTCCTAACTTCTCTTAGCATGGCTCACCACCAGTTGATTTTAGAATTTCCAAGTTCTTCCAGAATCCTGCAGGCTATGGACAATATGTCATGGAAGAAATTTAAATAGTAAATAAATGGATCAGTTCTTGTAAGCCACAGGTCTATTGCACCACAGTCTGAAGTTAGCATGTTTTTCATATTTCTCTTCTGTAGTTGAGGGGGATACAATTATTTCTTGAAGAGGACAGTAAGTACCTAAAATTGTTAACTACCACTTGGTAGTTGACAGTTATATGCTCTCCTGCTTCTATTCATATAAGCTGCCTTCTCTTTGAAGGGAAAGGAGTTTGATATTAATTCACTGACTGTGGAGAGAACACAGCCTTAAGTGCCTCAGAAGGGCCTGGCTATTCTCATTTGAAAAGTCTGAGGACCTGAAGCTGGCATTCTACCCCTAGGACCAGCTATGTATCTAATGCCACTACTCACTTTAGCTTTGGCTCAACTACTTAAAATACTGGATGGAAAGTCATACACATTTTACAAGGTATTTTCATGTGTGCAGAAACTTTCACCTTTGTGAGGTAAGAGGTCAAACTTCTCACTCATAGGTCTGGGGAGATCTTGCTTAATAATAATTGTGTCTCCCAACAACCTTGCAAAATGATTATCCTCATCAAACAAGATAAAATAGGCTCAGAGTATTTGGCCTAGGAAGTAGCAGAGTTGTGTCGACCTCAGCTTTGCAAATACAAAGCCCATTCTCTCTCTTCTTTGTCCTGCTGCTTCTCTGGAAGCAGACTTTTCCAAAATAATTCTGGTAGTATAGGTTTTCAGATGATATTAGGTAGCTTTTCCACTTTCTATGTGCAGTGGCAATGAAAATATCTAGGATGTCTGCATCTGATTTGTGTTACCTTATATTTAATTTCAAAATATAAGATGGGACTAGGTATATGTTTTAATTCCTAAAAGTTGTCTACTAACTTAATGCACAAACATTATTTATGTAAAGGTAAATCCTTTCAAAGAGTCTTTTTTGCAATTCAACAAGGAAAAGAACTCCATTAAAAAGTGGGCATGAACAGACACTTCTCAAAACAAAATATAAAAGTGACCAACAAACAAAAAATGCTCAAGGTCACTAATCATCAGAGAAATGCAAATCAAAACCACAATGTGGCACCATCTCACACCAGTCAGAATGGCCATTATAAAACATCAAAAATTAACATGCTGGCAAGGTTGTGGTGAAAAGGGAACGCCTATACAGTGTTGGTGGGAATACAAATTAATTCAGCCACTGTGGAAAATAGTTTGGAGATTTCTCAAAGAACTTAAAATAGAACTACCATTCTACCCAGCAATCCTATAACTGGGTATATACACAAAGGCAAATAAATCATACTTCCAAAAAGACACATGCACTCCTATGTTCATTGCAGCACTATTCATAAAGCAAAGACATGGAATCAGCCTAGGACCCATCAACGGTGACTGGATAGAGAAAATGTGCCATGGTTTATGGCATCATAGTATTCCATAGCATATACCTATGGAATATATGCCATGGAATACTATGATGCCATAAATAAAAATGAAATCATATACTTCGCAGCAACATGGATACAACTGGAGACCATTTTCCTAAGCAAATTAACTCAGGAAGCCAAATACCACATGTTCTCACTTTTAAGTCGGAGCTAAATATTGGGTACACATGGACATAAAGAAGGGAGCAATAGACACTAAGGATGGGGGAAGGAGGAAGGGTGGACCAAGAGTTGAAAAACTATTGGGTACTATGCTCACTACTTTGATGACAAGATCATACCCCAAACCTCAGCATCATGAGATCTACCCTTGTAACAAACCTGCACATATACTGCCTGTATCTAAAAAGTGGAAGTTATATATATTAAAAAAAAGTCTGGTTTGGAAAACCAAATACAAAATACTTCAAATACAATCATTTAATATAATATAGACATTAAAAGTGAAAGGTGTCAAATGCCCTGGGGTCCCATGTGACCTTGGTCAAATTATTTAATTCTCTGTGCCTCAGTTTCTTTTCTTTCTTTTTTTTTTTTTTGCGACAGAGCCTTGCTCTGTCACCCAGGCTGGAGTGCAGTGTTGCAATCTTGGCTCACTGCAACCTCCACCTCCTGGCTTCAAGCGATTCTCCTGCCTCAGCGTCCAAAGTAGCTGGGACTACAGGAGTGCACCACCATGCCAGGCTAATTTTTGTATTGTTAGTAGAAACGGGGTTCACCATGTTGGCCAGGCTAGTCTCACACACCTGGCCTCAGTTGATCCGCCTGTCTTTGCCTCCCAAGTGCTGGGATTACAGGCGTGAGCCACCATGCCCAGCTTTAGTTTCTTCATAGTTAAAACTGGATATAAATGATAATACCTCTTGGAGTTGTCACGATTAATTTGTTAATACTTTACACTCACGATTTTACACTCACAAGAATGTTGATTATTCTCTATACAGAAAATTACACATAATATTTTTTCAGATCAAGTTCTCATCTGAAATTTTTATTAATGTCAATACTATAATGCTTATTTTGCAAATGAGTTTAATCACTAGATTTGCACATATCATTCAATTACTGATCTTGCAAATGAGCCATTCACAGGTTTTTAGTTTTTGTTTGCTTGGCTCATTAAAAATATCTAAAGAAAACAATCACTACAATTTTATTTACAAATGGGTTGTGCTCCTGACGTACAAATATAAATTAGTTGTTTGGAACTCAGAATACATTTCCTTGTAG